CATCCTGGTGTCCATCGCACACTGTTTATTCTAAAACAACGGTTCTGGTGGCCTTCCATGGCTCAAGACACCAGGGCCTTTGTTGCTGCCTGTACAGTATGTGCCCGCGCCAAGTCCTCCCACCAATCTCCCTCTGGCCTGCTTCGGCCGCTGCCGGTACCTAGGCGTCCTTGGTCGCATGTGGCCTTGGATTTTGTCACTGGACTTCCACTGTCACAAGGAAATACCATCATCCTAACTATTGTGGACAGATTTTCCAAGATGGTACACTTTGTTGCTCTTCCCAAGCTTCCCACAGCCCGAGAGACTGCAGATCTTCTGGTCAATCATGTTGTTCGACTCCATGGGATTCCCACCGACATCGTCTCTGACCGGGGTCCCCAGTTCATTTCCCACGTTTGGAAAGCCTTCTGTCAGGCTCTGGGAGCATCAGTGAGCCTGTCATCTGGATATCATCCTCAGACGAACGGGCAAACGGAACGGGCCAACCAGGATCTGGGGGCGGCTCTTCGCTGTGTGGCTTTCAGGAACCCTTCGTCATGGTGCCCACATCTGCCATGGATCGAATATGCCCACAACTCCCTGCCAAATGCAGCCACAGGTATTTCACCCTTTCATTGTGCCATGGGTTTCCAACCACCCCTGTTTCCATCCCAGGAAGAGGAGGTTGCTGTTCCTTCCGTTCAGACCCACCTTCGTCGCTGTCATAAGGTGTGGAGGGATACCCGAGCCGCCCTGCTCCGCTCCGCTGCCCGCAACTGCCTCATCGCAGACCGCCACAGGACCCCGGCTCCCAACTACTTACCAGGTCAGAGTGTTTGGCTTTCCTCCAAAGATCTCCCACTCAAGACAGAGTCGAAGAAACTCACGCCACGTTATGTCGGCCCCTTCATCATCGACTCAGTTATCAACCCATCTGCAGTAAAACTCAAGCTTCCCCCACACATGAAGGTTCATCCGACATTTCATGTTTCTCTGTTAAAACCTGTTGCCAGCAGCCCCTTGTCTCCTCCAGTGAGTGTTCCCCCCCCCCCCCCGCATCATCAATGATCACCCAACCTACACCGTCAGGCGATTGTTGGACGTTCGTCGCCGTGGAAGGGGATTCCAATATTTTGTGGATTGGGAGGGCTATGGTCCAGAGGAGAGGTCTTGGGTTCCCCGGCGAAACATCGTGGGCGCGTCCCTGGTTCGGGACTTCCACCGGGATAACCCTGGTAGACCTGGTAGACCTGGTAGACCTGGTAGACCGCCTGGAGGCGTCCCTTAAGAGGGGGGTACTGTGGTGGCTCTACTCTTCAGCCACCTCCCTTGTGAGTGTGTGTTCCCTTTCCCTGTCTGTGTGGGCGTGGTGGCTGTCACTCCTGGCTCCCGGCTCAATCTCCACCTGCTGCAAATCTCCACCTGGTGCAATCAGCTTTACACACCTGATTCCCATTCAGCCATTTACTAATGGTATATCAGCGGAGGCTCCACAACATGTCAGCGCCAGATCGTTGTTTAAACCCCAGTGGTAACTCTCAGCCTTCTTAGCCGATTTAAAACTATTTCTCTGTACACGGAATACTTTTCTCATCTGTTTCTCTTATGCTCCAGGATCACTATCCAGCCGCCTTGTTACCATCACCTGCCGCCACCAGTCATCATTCCAACCGGATTACTCTCCACACTCACCAGTCTTCATTCCTACAGGATTACTCTCCACGCTCCTCCACCTCACAATAAACCTTTTTCCAACACTCTGCCGTGTCCTGCGTTTGGGTCCTATCGGATATCGTAACAACAGAGACCACTCAGTTAGAGATGGCAAATCCGGATCCTTTTACGGACTCAGGGTCTTCTGAGTCAGTCATTGAAGAGATCCGGATCATACGAGTCATTTGAGTCATATGAGTCAGCATCACCAAGACCGTAGAAATCCTATCGGTGAAACCGAAAAGTTGATGCATTTCACGAGCATATTATTATTCCATATATTTTGAATATATATATATATTTGTATATATATATATATATATATATATATATATATATATAATATCTGCATGTATATTTTCTATTTCGACATGTATATTTTATATTTTATTTTATTTTTCTTTCTATTCTTGTATATTTTGTAGTTTTGTTTTATTGTAAAATGCCTTTTATGCTGCTGTAACAACAATTTCCCAATTTGGGATCAATAAAGTACTATCTATCTATCTATTAAACTGACGTTATATTAACCTCCGCTACACAGTGTATTTTGCTTTAATAAAAAATGTTGATCACAAAAAAAAGGGTTATTTTGCGATTTGGCGAATCTGAGTCTGCTGTTGACTCGTGCATGAGGACGAGTCTGCTGGATCTCTGGATCTGCTGCTATATACGGCTCCGAGTCCGCACGAGTCTGGATTTGCGAATCTGAGTCTGCTGTGGACTCGTGCATGACGACGAGTCTGCTGGATCTCTGGATCAGCTGCTATATGGTTACGGCTCCGAGTCCGCACGAGTCTGCTCTGCTGTGTGTTGCACACACAGTGAGTCAGGATTTGCGAATCTGAGTCTGCTGTGGACTCGTGCATGACGACGAGTCTGCTGGATCTCTGGATCTGCTGCTATATGGTTACGGCTCCGAGTCCGCACGAGTCTGATCCGCTGTGTGTTGCAGCGAGTCAGGATTTGCGAATCTGCGAATCTGCGAGTCTGCGAGTCTGCTGTTGATAGCGCGGGAGCCGGGTGCTGGAGGAGGGGCTATGCTCGTGCACATGACGAGTATGGATCTCTGGATCTGCTATGCTATTACGGTTAGGAGCCGTCGGCTCCTCTGAGTCCCCACGAGTCTGCAGGAAGTTTCACTGATCCGCGTCCCCTCCCCTGAGCCAAACGATCACTTCTGGCAGGCAGCTATCCTGTATACTTGCTAAAGGGTAGGTAGATGGACTGGGGTACGTTGTAATGTGATTTTACATGTTATAAAGAGAGTAGCGAGTGACGCAATTTATAGTTTTAATTTGTACGTCACACCAAGTGTGGGACTCAAGGACTCGGGTTAAAGGAGAGGGGAGACTCGTCACGACCAGCTCATTTCTAGGATCCGGGTTAATGATCCGGATGAATCAGGACTCGCCCATCTCTACACTCAGTTAGCACCAGGAGGTGAAGAGCACTGCACGTGGCGCGCCCAGAGGAGAGGAATCAGCACTTTCAGAGGTAACGGTAAAAACTATTTATCAACGGATTCAAAACACTCAAGACTTAAAACATTGCAAACGTCAAAGTCCTAGCTATGGTATACATTTTGTTTAACGACCGAAAACAAAGTAATGTTAGCTAACGTTACCATAGCTAGGTAGCAGCTAGCTAGCTATGGTAGCAGCTAGCTACCATGTTTTGAAATTGAGCTGTTCTATGCCGTCATTATGCAGGGTGTTAATTTTTAATTTTTTAATGGTGCTCGAGTGGCTGAGCTGATGTGCAGTGAATGTTTCAGAGTTACTTTTTTGCAATATTATTTAATAAATAGTTTAGCTAGCTAACTAGCATACATTGTCACTAACTCCTAATGTTAGCTCAATCCTTAGTTTTATAATCGATTTTTTTGTGGGCATAATGTTACACACAATGCACATTATCCATATCTTTTAAATCCTATGTTAAGGCTATAATCAGAGGTGAGAGAAGTTCTCTGATCTTGTACTTGAATAAGAGTAGAAGTACTCAGGTCTTATACTTGAAGTGGCAGAGTTCCCGTTAGAATATTTTTTTGCCGGTCAACATGTCCGTTAAAGTTTAAATCTTCCGGACAAAATGAGAAAAGTGCCGGTCAAAGGTCTTCTTATTTATTGAGCTTTTAAACAAATTGATATGATTCGATATTAAACAAACTAATTCTAGTAGATTAACTACATTATTCAAAAGTGTACAGTAATTTATAACACGGGAATAATAAACGGAGCGCTCTCTCTCCCTCTCCTGACATCCCGTCAGTATCATTGTGCTCAAGGGAAATTATTTTGACCGGACATTTTGACCGGAGAGATTTAGATTTGCCGGTCTTCAGCATATTTTACCGGTCATAGTCCGGTAATTACCGGCTAACGGGAACTCTGAGTGGTATTACTGTACTTAAAGCTGCTGCTGTGTTATTTAAGTTATTTTTGCTTAAGCATGTGCAAACTTGTGTCTCTTTTTTCCCCTCAGCTGTTACTGTAGCTGCAGTACCAGTAATTGCAACCTACCAAGAATAAACAGCAGCCAGATATCCTCAAGTAAGATTTCTTGCCATATTACAAGTGTTATCAATTCTCAATGTCCTATATGGTATTGCTATGCAAACAGTGAAAGGATATGGAAATCATCAAGAGGTGGCTAAAATATGTTTTTCTGCTGACCCTGTCCAGAGCAGTACATTGCTTTGCTTCCAGGTGGTTGCTCCTGTCTGCATCTCCAAGCTCGGGGCATACCGGCCATCAGTGGCGGACTGGCCATCGGGACGTTCAGGACGAATCCCGATGGGCCGGTCGGGCCACTCGGCCCACTTCGGTACCGGCAGGGGCGGACTGACCATCTGTAGAATCACCGAACGGCCGGGTCGGTTTGCTGTTTTTAAACGGCATCATTGAAGTTGCGCTGACAGGCGACAGAGGTCCACCGTTTCCCAGTCCGCCCCTGCTGGCCATCATCTACTCTAGGTAATACACTGACTATGGATAAGTACCTTTATAAAACCCCACTTTAAACACCCAAACTATCCCTTTATGATGTGACATTTTCTACACTGTTAACATTAGGAAACACTTAAGAAAGAAAAGAAAGCTGCAGGAGCTGATCATTCCTAAAATATAATTGGCCATGTGATCACCAGTAAAAAAACAAAACAATCTGCACTAAATATTTTTTGGATTTATAAATGTTTTGTGACTTTTTCCTGTTGTGTACCTTAAGGGAGTTCTCCCCTGACAGCTGGACACTACATGATAGCGGAGGACCAGACCATCGTCAGTGACAGTGTCCTGAATGTTGTCGACGCCCTGATACTGATGTTTGCAGCATATTACTGCCTCAACATCAGTTATCGCTCAGAACTGGGAGCTACCCTGGAGTTCTTGCAGAGGTAAGACTTGAATTGTAATTTTTAAGTAATTCCATCTTAAACCACAGAGTAGAGGATTGTGCACATTTCTGAGACACGATAAGTGCTCCTGACAATACAAGATAATCGAGATAAAAAGATTATTGTGCTGCATTCTGTTTCGCATTATGCTCTCGTTTTGTCTTGGGTTGTAAATTCAGCGTACCCCTTTCCTTTGCAGTGGTGTGCTTTGGCTCCTCCCTAAAAGCCCAAACTCACTCTTAGCCAATCGGTGGTATGTTTACTTCAGCTCAATGAAAATGACGGAAAGAGGGCCCTTTGTCGACAACAAAAGAAAACCTGGTATTATTGCAGTGAACAAACACATTAAAACTTCTTTCGGTTAACTACGATGCTTTTACACCGCTCACTCTGCTACTGACACGCACCTCATCTGCCCCAGTTACACACAAACCTCTCAAGATGGGACTCGTAGCTACCCACATTCAAATGATCTTCAAGTGACCGCTTGCTCCTGTTTACAGACCTGCTGCGATACTGTCCAGTGTGATAGTGATGCCAAGTGACGACTTTATATAACAAAATCTATTCAAACCAATGCTTTAAATGTACAGATATGATCATAACAGTTAATGAAAAGTACATTTAAGAGTAGCATTGCCCTTTGACTTCAAGCTGTATAACTGTAAAGACAATTAATGGCTGTATCATCCACAGAATGTGTAATTAAACACTAAATGTAAGTGTACTTCTGTCTTAACAGGTGCCTATTCAAGATCAATCCGGACAAGGGGACTAGAGTGGAGAGGATGGAATACAAACAAAAACAGCACTCGATAAAGGTAAAGGTGCATTCATTAATTACAAACGTCGCTGACTTTGAATGGAGAGAGTAGAAACACACACACACAGTCATGTACACACGCACGCACATAACTGGTAGATTTCTTTAGTGTTTATAATTGTTATCTTTTGAACAAAATGTTGGCTATTTGTTAAATGTTGAAATGTTTCATTGCCGGTCTATTCTGCTTTATTATTACTTAAAATATATTTTATTTATTGTTTTTATTTTTGTGATGTATATTATTTTCAATAATATATTGTATATATTTGTGATTTTTTTTTCTACAAAACATCGGACAGTTAATGTAAACTTGGGCTTTTGCAAAGTAAAATGACATGTTTACTTTGTGTTTTACATGTAAATGGTCTTAGATTTCATGAAGTTTGCTGACGACACGACCGTCATCGACCTGATCACCGACGGCGACGAGACGGCGTACAGAGAGGAGGTCGAAAACCTGACATCTTGGTGCCAGGATAACAACCTCCATCTCAACGTCAGCAAAACAAAGGAGCTGATTGTGGATTACAGGAAGCAGCAGGGAGAGGGACACGCCCCCATCGCCATCAATGGGACTACGGTGGAGAGTCAGTAGCTACAGGTTCCTCAGGGTCCACATCACTGAGGACCTGACATGGACTCATCACTGAAGACCTGACTCATCACTGAGGACCTGACATGGACTCATCACTGAGGACCTGACATGGACTCTTCACTGAGGACCTGACTCATCACTGAGGACCTGACATGGACTCTTCACTGAGGACCTGACTCATCACTGAGGACCTGACATGGACTCTTCACTGAGGACCTGACTCATCACTGAGGACCTGACATGGACTCATCACTGAGGACCTGACATGGACTCATCACACTAACACCATCACCAAAACAGCAGCTCTTTAAAAACAAAATTGTATTAGTCAATTTATTGAACATGTTAGAAACAAAACAAACAATAATATTTATAACAAAGATGGGTAAAATAAAAAAACGTTCAAGGTATAAAAAAAAATGTATTCTCAAAGTTTCTATCATGTTCAAAAGGGGCAAGAAGAAGCTTAAAAACGTTTCTGGTCCTACCCCCGCAGTTTCCTCTCAACATGTGTATGTTTTCTCTCCGTGTGAAAAGTCCCTGGACATTATGATGTAATTGTTCTGCAGGCTGAGGAAGTTCAACATGGACTCCAGGATACTCTGCATCTTCTACAGGTGCACCATAGAGAGTATCCTGACTGGCTGCATCACGGCCTGGTACGGCAGTGCAATCATATTCCATTTACTTGCATATAGACTCTTCTTGCACTGTTTCTATTCTGTTTTATTTGTTCTATGTTCTATATATATGTTGCACTGTTGGAGGAGCCTGTGACTTCAGTTGTTCATTGCCATGTCTACACTGAAGCTAATGTACAAATGACAATAAAGCCTTGAATCTTGAATTTACGGTATTTTTTCAAATGACTACAGTAATCTTCTTTCTTTCAGCTTTTTTTGATCATTTAAAAAAATATTTATTCAGTTTTTCTAGAGGTGTATAACTCTATTCTAACAATTAATATATGTTAAAAGAAAAAGATTTCTTGTAAAATTACAGATTTTTTTGGCAAAAAATGTGATAGTTAATGTAAACTAAGGCTTTTGCAAAGTAAAATGACATTCTTTTCTTTGTGTTTTAATGGTAAATGGTCTTTGATACACGGTACTTTTTTGTAATAATAAAAGTAATTTTATGTATTTTAGGTTTTTTTTATCATTTTTTAAAGATAATTATTCAGTTTTCTAGAGGTTTATGACTCTATTCTAACAAATAATATATGTTAAAATAAAAAGATTTCATGTAAAATTACAGTAATAGAGGCTACTTGTGGTAAGGTAAGTCACTTTTTTTTTACATGTTATCTCCGTATTTTATTTTACAGTTTTTTTCCTTTTTTTAACGGACATTTTCTGGCGCCCCCCGTCGTTTTTTTACAATTTTTTTTTACAGTGTATCTATCTATCTACCTACCTGTCTGTCTATCCATCTATCCATCTATCTATCTATCTATCTATCTGTGTATATAAGCTGTAAGATTATCTTGGTCTAAAGGGACATTACACTATAGACTGCTTTGATGCAAGGTAATCTGTCTCTATAGTGCTGTACAGCAATATAATATTTGACTTCAACCATCTCTGTGTCTGTGTTTTATTGATTTATCTTTGTCTTAAACCAGTTAAGCCCTGAGCCTGTTTTTCAGGTTTCAGGCTCGAAAATGACATGCCCAGAACAAATGACTATAACTTCACTTCTAAAAGGGTTAAATTAATAATCTTTTTTCTCAAAGCAAGGTTACATCTGTGAGTTGGATGTAGAAGTGTCAGAATCAATATAGATGTTTCTGTGTCAGAGTAAATTCAGATGGAACATTGTAAAAAAAGGTAAATTCTTACCTCCGCCTACAAAAAACCCATTACTTATAGTGAAAACCACCCTTGGATGATGGGTTAGTAGACTAAAAGCTTTAGGAATCCAAACTACAACATATAATAAGTACCCTGTATCAAGATTGATGCAAAACAAGTGACATTTGACCTCTTTAGAGAGATTTATAAAAATAAAAATAATATGAAATCTCCGTTTTTTACTTAAAAATGCAATGATGGATTATCAGTAATCCTTTCAAAGTGACACAGACACATTGGATTAACCTATGGATTAACCTTCAGCGGCGTTTTTATCATTTTAATGGCATTGATCACGACTATTGATCAGAATAACAGCTAATTTGAGACGATCTCCCGTGAATGTTCCGTAATTCACGTGTTGTGACGTCTGTGTTTGCTTCCCCTGTCACGAGTTCTGATCGCTCAGTGATGATACCTATAGAATCTGTGGAATCTCAGCTTTAATTTGATATCTTGTTTTTGCAGTTACAATAAGTAATAAGGGTATTTTTACCTTGAGTTCTGTGGTAAGTGTGTTAGCATTTTTTCGCTCAGGGCTCATTTAGACGCTTCTTGTGAGACTTGTGTTTTGTTTCGGTAAAAATGGTTCGTATTGTCAGTTAGCTGAGTTTCTTCCCGTTAAATAGGTATGACACATTAATAGGTTTTTAGATATTAAGAAGCCCTGAGACACAGTTTCGTGAAAAAACACCCCACTGCCCCCTGTACAGAGGGCTCTAGGGCTTAACAGGTTTGGTGTGAGTGTTACATCGGATCCACGACAAGGGTTAGATAGAGGTTAAATAATAATACATTATTATTTCCTGTCATGCTTCCTACCTAACAGATAGACGCTGTGCAGGTTGACCTCCTCCGCTGTCACCGTGCTGTTGATCTTCAGCAGCTTGAGCACGGTGTCCATGTGTTTGGCCGTGGTGTTGATGCTGAGGACCAGACATCCATCGCAGCCCGGCAGCAGGTGGAAGGTGGAGGAGAGGATGTTCCCCACTGAAAACAGACAGGAGAATACGTGATTACACAGCTGAGATACAGAGCTATGCAGGAAACTGAGGCTGTACCTGGGACACATCAAAGATTCAAGATTCTCAGCAAGGAGCTCAGGTCAGAAGAATGCCATTTCTCCACTTCTCTCATAGCTATGTGCATATGACAATAAAACCTTTGAATCTTTGAATTTGAATGATCCGTCAGCATGCTAACAGGCTCACAATGCTCCATCGCTTCTCTTTGGATAACTGGACTTAACATCACACTGTACTTTTTACATTTATTTATTATGGTCTCGAGTTAACTTGTATTATAAATGTGAGCACTGTGGACCTTTGTCTTTCCTTCTGGCAGTTTCAGTCGCCTAAAAGAAGTGTCAGATTGTGAAACTCACCTGACGCTGATAGTGTGTCGCTCTCAATAGTTAGGTTGACAGTTATTGACATGCAGACACCATTCCTGAGGAGAAAGAGGAGGAGGTGAGTTCATCGCTGGGTCTAAATCATAGGCTGTATATTTAAAGGTCTGAATGTCAATATGAAGAAACTCAATGTGTTCAGAGCACGAGAACTGAGATGTATTTAAAATCAGGAGAAGATTCACTGATTAATCAGAGTATCATCTGCAGAGCTATTGAATTGGATTCTACAGAATCAGAATCAGGTTTATCACCAGGTGGGTTGACACGTAAGAGGAATTTGACTTGATGTCATGGTGCATACATAAAAGTAAAATTAGTTTTTTAAAACACAGATAGAAAACTATTTTAAGAAAACTATAATAACATTAAATCATAATAAAAATGATAAAAATGATAGTAAATTATCTTGATTTTTACTGGTATTTGTTATTATATTTTGTATGAGTGCAGATGCTCACAGTTTGTCCTCGTGGAATATAATGATCCCGTTGGGGTCGGACGGAGACGGACTGATGTTCCACCAGGAGCTCTCCGTGTGCTTCAGGATGGCGTCAAACGCTGCACTATCTGAGTAACCCACCAGGAAGCGGGACCTGTTGTACATCTACACACACACACACACACACACACACACACACACACACACACACACACACACACACACACACACACACACACACACACACACACACACACACACACACACACACACACACACACACACACACACACACACACACACACACACACACACAGAGAGAGGATAAGGGCCACATGTGAACCTTTTTGAGGTTTGATCAACATTGCATGTTTTACTCAAAATGTATCGAAAGTTGGAATTCTGAGAAAGAAATAAGAAAGATCACATTTGGCCCTGATCCTCTGCCATAGATGGTCCATATCATTTGTCCATACATGTTGACTTCTTGTTGGGCTGCTTGTGTTGTGAGAAATCATTCAATGGAATAAAGTTTATTTAGAAGTCATCTTTTTCATGTTATTGAAAACTTGAAATACAAATATTAATTGTCCTTAGAATCCACTGAAGTGTCATTAGTGTTTAACCCTGTTCACCTGTAGTTTAACATGTGGAAAGTAACACACCACTGCAAGTACATTTTGTACTTAAGTGCTGTTTTGACATATTTGTACTTTACTTGAGTATTTCAATGTAATGCTACTTTATACTTCTACTGTACATACACAAATATGCTGATATAGTATAATGAAGTACTGTACTACTAAGCTACACACTATTTAAAGTATATAAAGTTGGTCCACATTGAGAAAACTACAAAACTAAAATAGCGGTATAAAAGCCGGATAATAAAATAGCCTTAATAATATTACTGTTAAGATATATAAGTACAATTATTCTGCACTTTATATTATTCTGAAATGGGTCCTTGTACTTTAACTTTTTGTACGTGAAGTATATTTTGATGCTCATACTTTTGCACTTTTAGTGTAGTATTTTAAGACCATATTATTTGTACTTTTACTTAAGTTAAGGTTCTGAGTACTTCTTCCTACAGTGACTTACGGTGAATAAAGGAACCAGAGGGGGGTCTTACCATGGAGGGGTCAGCCAGAGAGAGATGCGTCACCAAGGGCTGGCATTCTTCAGGAGTCAGAGCCCAGCTGCTCAGAAACAGCCCGGATACCAGCAGGAGACCTCGGAGACACATGATGCTAACGATGCTAACGGGAAAGCAACCAACGACTGAGCCTCTCAGGGCTGCTCAGCCTTTATAGCAGAGTCATGCTGGTGATATTTGACCCTGTTTGTGCATGAATGATTCACTGATAATTAAACACTCCTACTGCCATCGTGCGGAAAATGTCAACATTCCAATTTTTACTCATATTTTACAAACGACAGATTCTGATGCTGCCTTTAACGATAATCTGCTCAAATATTGTGGAGTAACCCTTTAAAAAACTCTACTAATAAGCACTACCATAATAACATATCAACACAGAGTCCCACGATTTAATAATAAGACTTATTAAACGGCTTGGTTGAATACTTTATTCTGATTGGTCAGTTTGGACATTCCAGAGGTTGTTCATTCTTGCTAACAGACTGTTACTAAGGAGAACAGAGTTGGAGAAGACACTGTTGCTAAGGTGAACAGACTGTTGCTAAGGAGATCAGACAGTTGCTAAGGAGAACAGACAGTTGCTAAGGAGAACAGATCGTCGCTAAGGAGAACAGACAGTTGCTAAGGAGAACAGACTGTTGCTAGGAGAACAGACAGTTGCTAAGGAGAACAGATACCTAGTCTGATCGACTTCACACTTTTTCAGCATTATCTAAAGGGTTTAAGGATCAACACATTATAAATCTTGACGATCATCAAAATGGTCCAGCTGATTTTTGTACAGAAGAAGAATAGTTTTACATTTTTGTTTTCTTTATTTCCTTCATGATTGTTTCTATCTTCAGAACTACACCTTAATCGACTCCTCTTCAGTACAGAAACCTGCAGATAGGGAAAAATAAATCAGTTATATATTATATATATATATATATATATTCTTTAGATAGTTTAATCAGGTGATTTTAAAGCACCGTTCTCAGGGTTGTAGATGAACGGTGGTTCTCCGGAGAACCCGAGGCAGCTCGCCTGCTTCTTGAACTCTTCCAGGTCCGAGTCCTTCAGGGTCGCCTCTCTGCCTGCAGACAGAACCAGGAGATAATGAACCCAGAGCCTCAGATACATCATTTACACAATCCAGAAGTAAAGCAGTTAAAATGAGCACAGACTCAACGTCAGCTTCAATGCTTTACTTTTTAAGGTTTTACAGTTTTACTTGTAGAGTCTAGGTGTTAAAACTCAAGTAAAGAATATAAATACTTCTTCCTCCGTTGCGTTTTATGTAAAAAGAACCAGGAGATAATGAAACCTCAGTTAAATCTTTCCATTATAAAGGAAGTAAAGCAGTTAAAGTGAGCACAAACTAAGCTTGTCAGGATATTGGTATGAGGACCCAAACGCAGGACAAAAGGGAATCAAGACGTATTAACAAAAAGGGTGCTTTATTCAAAAGCTGAAAACAAACAAAGAAAAACTAAGAAAGACTAACGAGGGGCACACGAAGAACAGGAACCACCTCACGGACAGGAACATGCAGGTTACGGACAGGAACATGCAGGTTACGCACAGGAACATGCAGGTTACGCACAGGAACATGCAGGTTACGCACAGGAACATGCAGGTTACGGACCAGGAACATGCAGGTTACGGACAGGAACATGCAGGTTACGGACAGGACATGCAGGTTACGACAGGAACATGCAGGTTACGGACAGGAACATGCAGGTTAACCGGAGCAGGAACATGCAGGTTACGCACAGGAACATGCAGGTTACGACAGGAACATGCAGGTTAACGGACAGGAACATGCAGGTTACGCACAGGAACATGCAGGTTACGGACAGGAACATGCAGGTTACGCACAGGAACATGCAGGTTACGGACAGGAACATGCAGGTTACGGACAGGAACATGCAGGTTACGCACAGGAACATGCAGGTTACGGACAGGAACATGCAGGTTACGGACAGGAACATGCAGGTTACGGACAGGAACATGCAGGAAGGACAGACCATGCAGGTTACGCACAGGAACATGCAGGTTACGGACAGGAACATGCAGGTTACGGACAGGAACATGCAGGTTACGCACAGGAACATGCAGGTTACGGACAGGAACATGCAGGTTACGCACAGGAACATGCAGGTTACGGACAGGAACATGCAGGTTACGCACAGGAACATGCAGGTTACGCACAGGAACATGCAGGTTACGCACAGGAACATGTAGGTTACGCACAGGAACATGCAGGTTACGCACAGGAACATGCAGGTTACGCACAGGAACATGCAGGTTACGCACAGGAACATGCAGGTTACGGACAGGAACATGCAGGTTACGGACAGGAACATGCAGGTTACACACATGAACATGCAGGTTACGCACAGGAACATGCAGGTTACGCACAGGAACATGCAGGTTACATTGACGACGATAGGACACAAAGCTCAAGGAAAGACAAGACTAAATGCACACAAGGGTTGTCACAAGACAAGACAGAGCTGGAGAGGGGAGGTGAAACACAATCAGACATTCAAACAGGAGGGACACTAAAGACAGGAAGTACAACTAGACAAGACAGGAAGAAATACTGGACAAGACACTTGGAGGAAAATACATTTCAAAATAAAAGTGGAAAAAGGCAACATAAACCCATAACCATGACAAAGCTGTCCTACCCATCAGGTAGAGAGCGCGGAGGCTGATGTCCTCTCTGTTCTCACTGGGGATATTAAGCTTTTTAAACACCAGGTCAGAGTATTTGATGGTGTTGTTGATGCTCATGACCGCCAGACCGGCTCCGCCCGGCAGGATGTGCATCATCATGCTCATGTTGTTGACTGAGGACAGAAACACAGACAGATTTGTTTTTATAAAACCACAATGACGGATTTCTGCATGGTCTCCCAGCTGTGTGCGTCACTCTTTAGTGTCCCCTCGTCTCCCAGCTGTGTGCGTCACTCTTTAGTGTCCCCTGGTCTCCCAGCTGTGTGCGTCACTCTTTAGTGTCCCCTGGTCTCTCAGCTGTGTGCGTCACTCTTTAGTGTCCCCTGGTCTCCCAGCTGTGTGCGTCACCCTTTAGTGTCCCCTGGTCTCCCAGCTGTGTGCGTCACTCTTTAGTGTCCCCTGGTCTCCCAGCTGTGTGCGTCACTCTTTAGTGTCCCCTGGTCTCCCAGCTGTGTGCGTCACTCTTTAGTGTCCCCTGGTCTCCCAGCTGTGTGCGTCACTCTTTAGTGTCCCCTGGTCTCCCAGCTGTGTGCGTCACTCTTTAGTGTCCCCTGGTCTCTCAGCTGTGCGCGTCACTCTTTAGTGTCCCCTGGGTTGCATTCGAATAGTCCATTTAGCTTAGGAACCTTCCTAACGGAGTGAAATGACCCGGAAGTCCCTCAGTGGCAGCCATGATAAGTGCCGTTCGAATTCTCTAAATTAAAAGGAAAGGAGGTTTCAAACTTCCTTTATAACCTCCTTTAGCTTAGGAACCACTGGACCTCCCTAACCGAAAGGAGAGGAGAAAATGCTGCCCCACAATGCCTTGCGGCCGCAGCATTTGCCGTCACACAACAGTCGGCCGTTCACGGAAACAACCGATTATGAACGAGAAATGATATCATGAAAGTTACGGTGCTTATTAAGCATTTTAAAACGTATGTGGTAAGTTGCCAAAGTGCTTTGTTTTGAACGTTTATCCGTATTATAATCAAAAAGAGAAATATGAACGTTAGTTTTTACTGAAATGATCAAATAAAGTCAACATTTCACAGTCTTTACTGAGCTGTGTGGGGTTTGTTCAACTTTGAAAATATGTTTGAATGGTGATATACACAGTGATAGATGTTAAGGACTAACGTTTATAATAAATACATTTGTATTGATTTTAAGATCTTTTCATACAATCATATGTATTGGGATCATTTGTATTAATGTGGACCGGAGGGAGAGGGTGACGAGCATAAGTTTCACTTTCCTTTTTTATTTCAATTCCAACTTTGGTCATGAAGAATATGTTTCTCTGTTGTCCCCGTTCATAAAGCATAAAACAACAGCACCAGAGCACGGTGCAGAGTCTCTAGATGAGTTTACAGTAGTCCCTCGTTCTTATTAAACATCCATGTTGTAGTCCGCTGTATAGAAAACTGTAGTTTCCATAGTTTCCCCACAGCAGCAGGCGCACATTTATGACCTCTGCTGGCGCATCATAAACACGTCGGATAGTGAAAGTGCAGTCGGATTCTCTAAAGTGCCGCAGTCTCTTCTCCTAAATCCTTTTGAATTCTCCTATCCACTATCCCTTAACCCCATGACGTTTCACTCCGAGGTCAAGGAATAGACGATAGGGTTAGAACTTAGGAGCTGTTTTTTTGGAGTATTCGAACGCAACCCTGGTCTCCCAGCTGTGCGCGTCACTCTTTAGTGTCCCCTGGTCTCCCAGCTGTGTGCGTCACTCTTTAGTGTCCCCTGGTCTCCAGCTGTGTGCGTCACTCTTTAGTGTCCCCTGGGTTGCATTCGAATAGTCCATTTAGCTTAGGAACCTTCCTAACGGAGTGAAATGACCCGGAAGTCCCTCAGTGGCAGCCATGATAAGTGCCGTTCGAATTCTCTAAATTAAAAGGAAAGGAGGTTTCAAACTTCCTTTATAACCTCCTTTAGCTTAGGAACCACTGGACCTCCCTAACCGAAAGGAGAGGAGAAAATGCTGCCCCACAATGCCTTGCAGCCGCAGCATTTACCGTCACACAACAGTCAGCCGTTCACGGAAACAACCGATTATGAACGAGAAATGATATCATGAAAGTTACGGTGCTTATTAAGCATTTTAAAACGTATGTGGTAAGTTGCCAAAGTGCTTTGTTTTGAACGTTCATCAGTATTATAATCAAAAAGAGAAATATGAACGTTAGTTTTTACTGAAATGATCAAATAAAGTCAACATTTCACAGTCTTTACTAAGCTGTGTGGGGTTTGTTCAACTTTTAAAAGATGTTTGAATGGTGATATACACAGTGATAGATGTTAAGGACTAACGTTTATAATAAATACATTTGTATTGATTTTAAGATCTTTTCATACAATCATACGTATTGGGATCATTTGTATTAATGTGGACCGGAGGGAGAGGGTGAGCATAAGTTGCACTTTCCTTTTTTATTTCAATTCCAACTTTGGTCATGAAGAATATGTTTCTCTGTTGTCCCCGTTCATAAAGCATAAAATAACAGCATCAGAGCACGGTGCAGAGTCTCTAGATGAGTTTACAGTAGTCCCTCGTTCTTATTAAACATCCATGTTGTAGTCCGCTGTATAGAAAACTGTAGTTTCCATAGTTTCCCCACCGCAGCAGGCGCACATTTATGACCTCTGCTGGCGCATCATAAACACGTCGGATAGTGAAAGTGCAGTCGGATTCTCTAAAGTGCCGCAGTCTCTTCTCCTAAATCCTTTTGAATTCTCCTATCCACTATCCCTTAACCCCATGACGTTTCACTCCGAGGTCAAGGAATAGACGATAGGGTTAGAACTTAGGAGCTGTTGTTTTGGAGTATTCGAACGCAACCCTGGTCTCCAAGCTGTGTGCGTCACTCTTTAGTGTCCCCTGGTCTCCCAGCTGTGTGCGTCACTCTTTAGTGTCCCCTGGTCTCCTAGCTGTGTGCGTCACTCTTTAGTGTCCTCTGGTCTCCCAGCTGTGTGCGTCACTCTTTAGTGTCCCCTGGTTTCCCAGCTGTGTGCGTCACTCTTTAGTGTCCCCTGGTAAATGCTGAATGTGTTGTCAAGTTGCTGAAGATGTTTCTTCATGTGGAACATTTGTGTTTTTATATCTGCATCCTTTCTGAAGTTGCAGCACGTTTCTCTTTATGGTTTCTCCTGATGTTCCTTACATGACACTGATGCTGTGTTCCCTTCAAACGTGAAGTTGACAGTTTCTCTCGAGAGGAGACAGGTTCCATTCCTGGGACAAAGATTAAGAGTTATATCATTAAGAAATATAATGAGGTCAGAAATATTTGTTGTGCTTTTTGCAAAGGAGTTGATAGCATAATGAACTATGTGAATGATTCTTTTTCAGGCTTACTTTTTATGCCTCAAACTGCATGAAAATAGGTTTGTAAGTATGTTAATCTACAGTGATTGTGTGTGTCTGCAGCTGCACAGTGTTATCCACTCACAGTTTGATTGACTGAGACGTGAAGACGCCAGAGGGAGAGTCAGTCATAGTCATCCAGGAGCTCTCCAGGGACTTCAGGATTGCTTCAAACACATCGTTATCGTTGTAAGCGGCGAGGATATATGACCGTCCGCCCATCTGAACAAACATCAAACATCACATCTTTAGAGTACGAGGTAAAGTAAACTGAACCCAGTCATCTTCATCAGAGGCTTGTTTACTTTATATTTCTCTTATAGCTGTTGACAGTATTTTAGAGTAACACAAGATATCTGTTAGCCTCAAGTTTAACCCTGTAGTGTCGCACTTGATCGCATTGAAGCTAACGGTGAATAAAAGAACCAGAGGGGGGTCTTACCATGGAGGGGTCAGCCAGAGAGAGAGGCGTCACCAAGGGCTGGCATTCTTCAGGAGTCAGAGCCCAGCTGCTCAGAAATAGCCCGGATACCAGCAGGAGACCTCGGAGACACATGATGCTAACTATGCTAACGATGCTAATGATGCTAATGAAGTTACCGAGCTGAGGGAAAGACGACTGAGCCTCATCGGGCTGCTCAGCCTTTATAGAAGCTTATGGGTTTTACGTTATCTACACTTTAGGCCAAGTTTAAACTTTTGGTGAGTTATGAAAGTGTTTATTTGACTGGCAGCGTTCCTCCATGCAGGTCCAAAGGGCGTTTCAGTGGGCGTACGGTTTTATATCAATGTTTGTCCATTAATGATTCACTGATAGCTAAACACAGCCTGAACTCTGACCAGTGGCGTTTTTATATGTACAAAAGTGGTGTGGCACGAACAACTTAGATATATAAGCTTCCGGTGCTTTTTTAAACACGTAAACAAATAGCTGTAGGCTACCCATGGTTCCGAGAGGGGGGGGGGGTATAAGGAAAACACAAGACACTCATCACAGAGGTCACTTATCAATGGATCCAGCAGAGCAATCGCCTATAGGCAAAACACAGAAGATCAACAAGAGATATGACATAACATGAACCAAAGCTGCAGTAGACGGTCAACTTCATTCATTTTCTTTCCGTGTTACTGATTTGAATCGCTATACGCTGCTCTCTCTCGTCTCCTCTTCACATCTAAACTGTTCGCGGCACACGTACTTACAGCCAATCAGCTCTCTGAATTATGAGATGACGTTTGGAGGGTATGGCAGCACATTGACCCTTTGGTGATGATTTTGTTGCCGCACACATTGAAGGTTTCTCAATGCCCTAATTCCCCTCCTCGACTCCCCTCCTTGACTCCTATCCTCGTGTCTTAGTCCCGCCCACATGAGATGCGAGCAGAGGAGTCGAGGAGTCGAGGAGGGGAGCCGAGGAGAGAGGAGGGGAACCGAGGAGAGAGGAGGGGAACCGAGGAGAGAGGAGGGGGAAGCAGCAGGCGGTTAGAGAAATGAGAACTCCTCTCCTCTGAGCGGTCATTTTAAAGAGACGTCCATTAATGATGACAGGAGGCACATTTTTTCATTTCATGTAATCGTTTATTTGAAGAGAGACAGAACACATTGATGAACATTTAAAACAAATAATGCTTTAAAAACGTAAAAATGCCGGATTTTAGCTTTGAGCTAGTTTCCATCTGTATTCCCTCACGTACAACATTTAAGAACATGACATTTATATACATAGCTAAATAAATACATGATATGCAGAAAGAGCATGAGCAGCAGATAAGCATTCACCACATGGCAGCACAATGTAGCAGCTACGACACATAGAGTGCAGGAGGAGATACAAGTGCTACATAGAGTGCAGGAGGAGATACAAGTGCTACATAGAGTGCAGGAGGAGATGCAAGTGCTACATAGAGTGCAGGAGGAGATACAAGTGCTACATAGAGTGCAGGAGGAGATACAAGTGCTACATAGAGTGCAGGAGGAGATGCCCCTGAGTTGAAGTGCATCTAGCGGTGATTACACGTTTGTTTGTTTCTCAACCATTCTTTGAGTTGACCTTTAAAACTGTTCAAAGTGGGACAATCCCGTAACTCAGTTGGTACATACTTACATACATGTCTCTTCTACATCAACATGTGTCCCCTCTTCTTCATGTCTCTTCTACATCAACATGTGTCCCCTCTTCTTCATGTCTCTTCTTCATCAACATGTGTCCCCTCTTCTTCATGTCTCTTCTTCATCAACATGTGTCCCCTCTGTGGAAAGAGACTCTGAAAGTTTCAGGAACAAAGATTCTCTCTCTTTTTGTCCTGATCCATTTCTATAAAAACCTGTCTGAAAATGAGCTGATCAGATTTTGGCCACTTTATGATGTCATAACGATGTTTTGTCTGTGTTTCAGCCAATCAGAGACAGGCTCTGGATATATCTGAGACAGTATAATGGGGGACCTTTAAGATGAGCACAGACTAAACGTTACAGCAGCTCCAACGCTTGACTTTGAGAAGAAGAAGATGGACCTTTGTTGAGAGGATCCAGAGCGGAGAGGCAGCCAGAGGTGAACTTCATTTCTGTATTTATTTTGTTCCGGGCGGGACGTGATCCGGCTTCCCATTGGTCCACAGTCCCTGTCCCTACAGACTGAACCACCGCTGCCCAAGGTTTGTTGATAACCGACCGGATGTGCGCAACTACTGGAATTCAATTTTCAATACTCTGTCAGAGGTAACTGGGACGCTTATAATAATAATAATAATAATAATACATGTTATTTGTATAGCGCTTTTCCTGGTGCTCAAAGAGCTTACAGAGCCTAATGCCATTCCTGCAGGCGTCACTACCCTGCCTGGCTCAAAGCGGACCTCATAGCCTTTGAAACATTAATAGCAAGACGCCTAATACTAACAAGATGGAAATCACCAGCACCACCTTCCCACACTATGTGGATAAGAAACATTTTTAATAATTTACAGCTTGGAAACATCTGTTACACACTGAGAGATGACCTTCCCAGATATTCCAGAATAAGACCCAAAGACCCCCATTTCTTTATTCTGACCAGAAGAGAACAAGGTTATTTTGTGTTTGCTTTTTTGTTGTTGTATGACCAAGCCAACTGTTTGTGTTGTTGTAATGTATCGTATGTCATGATCATGGTCAATTTGTGTTTGAACATCAATACTGTATATAATAATAAAATAATAATAATAAATGACCGGATGTTTGGATCAGAACAGAAACTACTCTCCTGTAAGATCTTGATTATCACAACATGGTTGATTAAATGTACCGGGTTAGATTAAGTTTGAATAGTGATCACATGCTCCTTCCTCGCCCAATAGACAGAGAGCATGGAGGCTCGTCCTCTGCGTCTCCGCTGTCGATCTGCATCCTCTTGAGCATCTGTTTACAGCTGGAGGCGGTGGTGTGGATGCTCATCACCAGGATGTTGTCGCTGCTCGGCAGGATGTGGAACTTCGAGGTGACGTTGGCAACTGAGGCCAGAGAGCACAATGTGCACCGTTACTATTTACATTTACCTTTCAAATAATAATCTCAATCTTTATTTATTTATATAGCACATTTTAAACAACCTCAGTTGACCAAAGTGCTGAACAGGGAACAAATACAATATAGAATAACGCAATAGGAGTAAAATAATAAAACAATAATGAAAAACAAGATAAAAAGCACAATAACTAGAAACATATAGAAATATACAACAATAACAACAACTTGGATTTATATAGCGCCTTTCAAGAAACCCTAGGAAGCTTTACATATCTTATTTGATTATTTCAACAGGTATATTTTCTACTTTTTTAATGCTATTTTATTTCTATTTGACATGTTTACTTTTTGGATTGTTTATTTCTACTCTTTAAATGTTTAATGTGCAATGCCTTGTCTTTTGATGCTGCTGAAACGCAAACATTTCCCAAGTTGGGATCAATAAAGTACTTCTTATTTGATCTTTATTTGATCTTATATCATCATGACGTGCACAGTGAGACAATCTTGGTTTCGTTACTCTCTAAATGTCTTCTAGTGTTTTTTAAAGAGGCCCTGCTGGTGGTCCCTCTGCTGAGTTGTTCACCTGCGACACCATGTGGAGAATACTCTGCTATACAATCAGAAACATCCTTTGTCTGGATTACCGAAGGAAAAGGAGTTGAGGAACAAGTGGCTGAACTTCATTTGACTCTTCGTCTGGACTGCTTCCTCACTACGCTCAGTTCACAGATTTCAGTTTCTGATGAGGACTGGCTGGCGATCCTAAAGTTGTACTCCTTCTGGATTTGAAGAGGTTTGGTGGAAACTGAAAAGCACATCTCCAGGACGGAGCTGCCACCCTGAAGGAACTCTACTTCCAGGAAGAAAGCCTTATGATTATCAAAGACCCCCATCACCCCCCGTCCGGCAGGCGGTACCGCAGCATCCGGACTAAACCCTCCAGACTCAGAGACACTTTCATCCCATCCCATAAACACTCAAAACACAACTCTTCAGACTGGCTTTTAATGTGTGAACAATGTTGTGTTGTTATGTTGTTGTTTTAAAGGGCCCATGTCATGCTTTTCCGGTTATTACCCGTCCCCTTGTGTGTTATGAAGGTTTTTATGCATGTAAACGGTCTGCAGAGTCACAAACCCTACAAAAAAGTACACCCTGTCGCGAGTAAAACTCTAACACAGAAAATACCTCCCCAAAACGCCTCGTTGGAGATACGTCATTGTCCATTTGATTCTTCCATTTCGTTCCGGGTACGGCATGATGTCAAGCCGCACCCGGAACGAAATGGACCAATCCGTGGAGCCGTTACGTTACGTCCGCGGAGCCGTTACGTTAAGCCCCCGCTGATTGGTCCAAATTGACCAATCCACGGACTTCCTCACACACACATCTGTGTGCAGGGAGCAGGCAGCTCTGCTGATTTCTCCTCCCTGGCTGCAGGCTGATAACAGACAGTTGGGATCGCGGCGAAATTCTCTCTGCAGACCCATTCTCTCTGCAGACCCATTCTCACAGCGTTTATCAACCTTTTTCTTACTCAATATCAAGCCACACTTATTGTTTTTACTTCGGCTGTGAGTTTGTGTGTGCTCAGGATGAGTTTGGCTGTGTTTGGCTGTGTATCCTAAACAAGGAAACAACACCTCCACGGAGCTCAGCGCGATTCACAACGTCCCGACCAATCAGAGCACACTGTGCTCACAGGGAGGGTGGGGGCTGGAGCTTTGGGAGCTACAACGAGCCGTTAAAGGCAGAGAGTGAAATTCAGTGAATACACGTAGTTTACAGAGATGCTGTTTGAGAAACCAATGTGAGTTTGGAAAATTGCACAGTATAAATCTATTCTAGTAGACCTCAACAATGGAATTATGATCAGTGGAAATGGCCATGACATGGGCCCTTTAATATTTGAATTTGTAAGTGTTCAATGGCATTAAAATGCATAAAAACGCCGCTGAAGGTTAATCCAATGTCTCTGTGTCACTTTGAAATGATCACTGATAATCCATCATCATATTTATGGCAATAAGCCTAGTTTTCATATAGAGTGTAATAGAGCTTCCGGTTTTGGACAAACTGCGTGCGCATCACCCTCATTCCTCAATGGTAATGTTTAGATGGATTTAGGAACTCCCCTTCGATTTTATTGGCTCTAACGGTTCAAAACCCGTCAAAA